TTTCGCTAACGGAGATTCAGTCCGCTAGGGTGTGCAAGTCGAGGATGCTGCTTGGTCGGGTCTTTGCGGAGGATCGGCTGTCAATTGCTGAACTACGTGAAGGAACCAACAATCCGTGGCAAGGTCAGGGAAGAATCAAAGTAAGGGAGGTGGGACATGGATTATACGAATTTGTTCTCCCAACTGAAGCGGCCAAAAATTGGGTATCCAACGCACTCCCTGGGTTATAAAGGATAAAATCCTTCACATGCGTGCCTGGACACCAAATATTACTGCTCGCACGTTTGAAGAGATGGCGATTGCACCTTTCCGAGTCCAAATGTGGGATGTACAAGAGGAGTGTTGCACTCAACAGTTTGGCAGAAAAGTGGCGAGTTCCACCCTAGGCCGTGTGCTCGAAGCAGGCGTGTTCTCCTGCACGGATACAACCAGGACGTTCATCAAGGTTAAAGCCCTCATCGATTTCTCCAAACCACTAATATCCCAGATCATGGCGACTAATGAGGAGATGGGCTCTTTTTGGATCTGGTTCAAGTATGAACACCTTCCCAGTTTCTGCTACAACTGCGGCCGGGTGGGGCATTTTCGCCAGAATTGTGGGTTTGACCCGCCACCAAGAAAGGAGCGGTTTGGCCCCCATATGGCGACCAAAAAAAGGGGGAGGAAGATCTTCGATGAAGAGGAGCAAAGCCAACATCCCAATTCGGTTTGGATTAACTCCAATATTCGACACAAACCTGGCCAGGTGGAACGGGTGGAACCTCGACCAGGAACCTTGGGGCGGCGAGACCCGCAACCTACCAAAAGCCTGATGACCGAAAGAAGCCCACTGTGGATGGGGTCTTCGGACAACCCGTTCGCCACTACCGAGCCTGAAGCGCCTCGATCTAAGCTGGGGAGGAGCCCTCTTCGGTTCCCGATATCAAAGGCTCCTAAAATTCCCCTTGGTAGGCCAGGTCGTCGCGGGAAGGGGGAGGCTTTTCCACTGGGCAGTCCGATGGAGGTTGATGGGGACCAAAGCTCGATCCGGGTAGCGAGCCACCATGGCAGACAGGGTAGAGTATCGCGAGATAACCGGAGCTCGTCAGTCGCAGTGGATGGGAACCATCGTGCAAAGACAGGCGTGTCGCGGGAAACCCTTCCCTTGGTGGTACTTCCCCTGGTGCGGCAGCCAAAGACATATCGCGCCGTCGGAGACTCATTCTGGAGGATGACTCGGAGGATGAGTTTGTGGTTCAGCCCGTGCCACCCAGCAGGCAGAAGGAGGGTCGGCCTTTTCCTCGGCAGGAGGATTTGAACCGGCAAAGGGCGGCTGGCCCCAATCATTTCGAGGCCCGGAAAGCCCAGCGGAAGGGGAAGGGTGTTGCTGAACCGCCTCATCTGGGCCCCAAGCCTAGTACTGGGCAGGCCCATCCTCTGAAGGGACTGACAGCGGGCGCAGGCCCAAAAAGAAGAAAGGAAGGGGGATCAGTGGGGGAAATGGCTAGTAAGCCCAAACCCATAAGCAAAAGGAAGCCTCCCAAACCCTCTTCGGATCGGGCCCTTGTGGAGACAAAGGGGCCGAAGGTGGGGCAGACGGGCCTAGAGGCGTCTCCAAAAGCTGACCCGGATTCACCCGAGCACATTGTGGACCCACGGGATTCGGAGTACACGTGCTCGGAAGATGAGGCCCAATTATTTGAGCTACGGCGTCGTGTTCTGTCGGCGTCAGGGGTCTTGAAGCGGCTGGTTAAGAATTCTCGGGTTAATCAAGTTGTGAGAGCTTTTGAGATGGGATTGGCAATGCAGGACAATGAGGAAGATTGCGATACGGACCAACCCCAATCTCGAGTATTTGCAGGCATTCAGGATTCGGTGGGTGAAGCTGTTAACGATATCCCCTTGAATGAATATGGTATACCTGAGCCGGGGGCGGGGATTAAGAAACGTCAGTTTGACGAGATTGAGGGGGAGATGACGGAGAATCCAACCCCCAAGAAACAGTTTGTTGAAGAGAAAGATGATGTGGAAAAGGTGGAGGAAGCCAGCCTAGAGTGGCCCCAACCAGATAAATGAGGCTTCTGGCCTGCAATTTGATAGGAATTGGGCCAGCCCTCACATTCCAAACTGCTGTAGGTTTATTGCATTCTAATAAACGGGATCTTGTGTTCTTCTCGGAGACACGATCGAGCCGGCGTGTAGTGAACCGTCGCATGCGGGGATTAGGTTTTCATCATTCTCATTGTTTCTTTGTGGATGCTGTTAATGCATCGGGTGGTTTAGTTGTAGCTTGGTCCCCCGGGGTTGATGCCTCGGTGTTTTTTCATTCCAACTTTTGTATCTGCACTCAGATTAATGAATTTCAGCATTCTTATGTTGTGGTTTCTGTTTACTTTAGCTGTGATATGGCCACTAGAGCCGCTCAATTGTCCCAGTTGCAAGAGATCTGTAGCACAATTCAGCTCCCATATGTTGTCATTGGTGATTTCAACGCTACTCTCCATGCGGGTGAAAAAGATGGTGGGAATGATTGGAATCCGACTCAGTCTCTTAGTTTGCGCGATTTTATCTGTGATCTTGGTCTTCATGACCCTGGGTTCCAGGGTGATCAATTCACCTGGACTAACAGGAGCATGGGAGTGGCCTGTATTCGTGAAAGATTGGATAGGGCTCTGTGTTCTCAGGCTTGGGTGAATCAATTTCCAGAATCTCTAGTAAAGCATTTCACTGATCAGGGATCGGACCATCGGGCCATCCTCCGCTCAGACCAGCCTTATCGGTGCCATAGCCGCCCTCTTTTTAGATTTGATGCCCGCTGGGCGGATAATCCTGAGGTCAGGGCTATGGTGGCCTATGTGTGGAAAGAGGAGATCCAGGGAACGCCCATGTACCAGCTCTGGGAACGGCTTAAGAAGCTTCGCCATCTGCTCTATGACTGGAGTAGGGCTGGTACAACGAACTCCTTGCGAAATATCTGAACCCTCCACTCTGAAGTTGACCGGATTAAATTAGTCCACCCAATAGATTGGGATACAATCCGTACCTTGGAACCAGAGCTATCTAGGCAATGGGAGGCGGAAGAGATGTATTGGCAACAAAAGTCTAGGGTGAATTGGTTGAAAAAAGGGGATAAAAACACTTCTGACTTCCATACGGTCACGAGGACCAGGAGGAAGAAAAATTTTATCTCCGGTCTTCGTAATGACACTGGGATTGGATCACCGAGGAGGCTGGGAATTGTTGAGGAGTCAGTGAGTGACGCAGTTTGTTCTTTCTTCTCGACGAGCAAAATGCTTAGGAGTTTTAATCACACCTGGCTGACTCTGATTCCCAAGGTCGATGCGGTGGAAACTATGCGACAGCTTCGTCCTATCAGTCTCTCCCAGTTCGTATACAAAATCATTACTAAAATCATGGCGGAGCGTCTGGCCGGGTTCCTTCCTAATATAATTTCGGAGGGTCAGAATGCTTTCATCAAGGAGCGTCAGATAGTGGATAATGTCCTTCTAGGGCACGAGTTGATGCATTACTTAAAAATCAAAAAGCAAGGAAAGAAAGGTTACATGGCTCTGAAGGTTGATATGGAAAATGCCTATGATAGAGTTGAATGGCCCTTTCTTCTTGTTGTTCTTGAGAAAATGGGCTTTAACTCTACCTGGAGGGGATGGATCCAGGAATGCCTAGCATCCACTTCTTTTTCGATTCTAATGAATGAATCCCCCTCGGGGTATTTCTCCCCGACGAGGGGTCTTCGGCAGGGGGATCCTCTCTCGTCGTTGCTGTTTGTACTTTGTACGGAGGGGTTTGCTGCTCTCTTACGAAAGGCTATTGCGGAACGAACATTGGAAGGTGTGAAGGTCGCTCCGCGTGCTCCTAGAATCTCCCACCTGTTCTTCGCTGATGACTCCTATTTATTTCTTCGGGGGTCTCTCTAGGAATGTGAGAACCTGCTTGAGGTTTTAAATGAGTATGAGGAACTCAGTGGACAGCGAGTTAATCTGGGCAAATCAGCAGTTTGCTTTAGCAGGAATATAGCACTGCCTGACCAAGAGTTCTTGGTCCAGATTCTGGGTGTGGGTGTAGTAGGCGTCCATGATAAATACCTTGGCCTTCCTTCGCTGATAGCCCGATCTAAGATGGCTACCTTCCGATATCTGGAGGAGAAATTATTGGAGAGACTACAGGGGTGGAAACAACGGACTTTATCTTGGGCGGAAACAACGGACTTTATCTACAGGGGTGGAAACAACGGACTTTATCTTGGGATCCCAGCCTTGATGCGACAATTTTACCAGCAATATGAGGAGTGGATGAGCTTGCCAATGGATCGAAGTCTGCCTCCGCATACCACGTCTATCCCCCCGGCTTCCCCGGTAGGCGATTCTAGGGCCGTCTGCCTCTGGGATGGGGCTACCAGGCATGGTGCTCCCTCAGCTGGTGGTATGGTGCTTATGACCTCGAACCATGATCTACTGCTGGCTAGGGGGGTCAGATTTCCTGATGTGGTGGACCCGATGGTCGTTGAACTTCTGACCCTTCGGGAGGCTATTGGCTGGTGTTTGGGACTTGGGTTTGCGATGGTTAGGTTTGAAGGAGATGCCAAGGTGGTGATCGATAAGATCAATTCGCGGCAGGCTAGTGATAACCGGGTGGGGGCTATTCTAGAAGAAGTTTTACACTACTTTGATTCTCATCCGGGGTTGGGTGTACGGTTTGTAGGTCGGAATAACAATAGGGTAGCCCATAGGGTGGCTAGGTAGGTCCTTTCTTTGTCTCGGACTATGAGTCGTGTTTTTGATTTCCAGGCCTGGCTGGGAACCAGGGTGTAATTATCTTTTTTTGAATCAATATACGATTATCTTTTGTCAAAAAAAAAAATTGATATAGAACATCCCGATTCCCGACAAGCAAAACGTGCCAATAGTGAATAGAGGTAGTAAGCTAAACCAAAAAGCCTATATGTATATCTATATACAAGGGCAAGGGAAGCATAATCAAATGATCTTTGGCCTTGTTTAATAATAAGTTGAGAGAGATCTATAGAGAGAGAGAGGTAGCCATGGCGATGAAGGGGAAGCTGCAGAGTGTTATGGAAGTGAAAGCATCAGCTAACAAAGTTTATCAGGTGTGGAAAGCATCATACGACATCCCCAAGCTCACCGCAGAGAACATCCACAAAGTTGAAGTCCAGCAAGGCGATTGGGAGACTACTGGATCGATCAAGTACTGGTGTTATACTCTTGGTAATGAATCAATTGCTGGAGATAAAATCAGTCCATTTCAATATCTAACTCGTTAAACTGAATCGTTGTTTGCTGAAGTTCAATCCAACACTCAATAAGTGAGCAATATGTTTTATGAACCTGCGCAGACGTCAATTGCATATATATAAATAATAATTATTCCAACTATAATCAGATGGGAAGCTGGAAGTTTTGAAGGAGAAGACGTTTTTTGATGACGAGAAGAAGCTGGTGACCGTAATCGGGGTGGACGGCGACCCGATGAAGCTATATAAAGTGTACATAGGCAAGTTTGAGATGAAGCCAAAAGATGATGACGACGCCGGCGGCAATGGCTGCTTTGTGACCATCACGGTCGAGTATGAGAAACTCAACCTTGCCTCCCCGCCTGCCTACAAATACCTGGATTTCCTGGAAAGCGTTGTCCATGATCTTGGTGAAGCTCTTGCTTAATCATCCATCATCACCACCAATAATTACAGATGAGATTTCCATGGTACATCTCATTTGCTTTATATCTAGTTTATGTGTATAATCCAAATAAAAGAAGAGTGTGTTTATGGTCCTATTGATAAAATGGCTTTGTAATGACTAATATGTGGGATGGTAAGTGTTCTCATCACCAACCCTTTGTATTATTTTTTCCAAAAATATCAACCCTTTGTATTCTAAATAAGAGAGGGTTACTTTGGTGAGCTTTTTAAGAGATCCGTTGGTAAGTTGTATGGTCAATGCTACTTCTTATGGTATGAAGATTTGTATTCAAATAATATCTATCAAAATTCACTATCCCAATACCAAGTGTGTATGATTTTTCTACGTATAATTTTTGGGATCGTATTTTACGAAAACAATGGTTAGCGTGCCTTGAATATCAATTTTTGGGACCCTATCCCGGATAATTTCAACCCCCGTATTTTGTTGATTGAATGTGTTTTCTTGCTTGTATGTAGGACTGGAAAAATAAACCATAATGTTTGAAAAATCACAGACCAAATCACACTATACAGTTTGGTCCGGATCATAGGCCGATAAGAATGGTCTGGTTTTGGTCTATGGTCTGCATAATAGGATGTATTGATCTCTTTGTTTTGTCTGATCTAGACCGCGGTTTATCGAACCAAATAGTGGACTCGTCCACCTTTCCAATTCGTGTAAGCAACTCGCTTGACCACTCTCCCAACTACTCAACGACACCCACGTCTCAACACTAATTTTGTGAATCTCGTCCTCTCCTTAATTCATAAGCTACACTTTCTCACAGAGTAGAGAATAGTATCTTCATATGACATTATGTTAATGTTGGTTTGTTTTGACTTTGTGTTTTTGTTATTGACTTGGATTTATGGTGTTCAAATTAGGCATGTGTGTTAGAATTTATGTTTTTTGAAAAAAAATCTTTTTTCTCAATTTTTATTCAATTTTTTCTAAATAAACTACTCATTTTTCGCTCAATGTGTTGTAGTCCAAACTGTACCAGAATATACGTCTGGACCATTTAGTATTTGATATGGTCTCTGGTCTATACTTCAACTTCTTGGTCTGGATCATAGGTCGTGTATATGGTCCTTTCTCGATCAAACTGACTGTTTCCCTGTCCTACTAGTATCATTGTGGCGAATAGGACAGCTAAAGAAGGGACTCAATCCGTTATAGTTTTATTTGTGTCACCTTATTTGTCTACTGTCATCAAGACCAACATCATAGCCATAGGCGGAGAGAGGGGGTATGCTATATGGGAGGTGTCACGAGATACTGGTAATTTTTGGTAAAAAAAAACTCCCCATATATGATATATGTATACAGAAAAAAAAATGAACCCATCACCACTAACTCACTAAGTGATATAACAATGTTCTACCACCACACTACAAGTCATTTCATGATTAAAAGCTAATCGAAATTTATTTATCACACTACAAACAAATTTTCCAATTGAAATATACACAAAAATCGATCTCTCTGTTTTATCCATCAGTTTATTTACTTGTGAAACTATTTTTGACTCTACCTATTGCAATTATGAGTGTAGAAAGAACATTTTCAGGTTTGAGCTATATTAAGAAAAAGCTTTGAAGTCGAATTATCGACCAGTTTGCTAATGATTATTTAGTTGGATACATTGAAAAGAATTACTTAAGAGTGTAAACAACAAATGGGTTTTGCATTTTTTTTTTGTAATATGAAAATGCGTCGTGATTGTTTTTGGAAACAATGATTGTATTAGTTAGATATTTCTTTATTAATTATTTGAATATTATTATTTTAATTACATTTATTATTTATTTATATATTACTACTAATTACTTAGCTTCGAACCTTTTATGAAACAAATGAAGCCATTACTGTGAGCAAATACATATGGGGGTCGTTTGGATTAGGAAGTTCAGGCAGGAATTCTGCCATAATTCCTATCCTTCCAGGATTTCTTTAGATTTCTGAGTTTGGAAAGGCTCCAAAATTAAAGGATTTTAATCAACAGAGATTTTGAAATTCTGCTCATTAGTGATTTCAAAATAGTTGATTACCCCCAGCTATTTCAAAATCTCTGGTTTCTTTTTTTGGATCTTCCAATCTTATCCTTCACCTTCCTCCCTCGTCCTAAATCCACCATTCACGAACACCGCCAACGGAACAATCGGCCACTCATGTCTCTGTTCCGACGATAAGTCAAAAAAGCGGGACGACGGTAGATGCTTCTTCCTTTGACAAGATTTCGAGCTCCTGCTGGAGGCGGGATGGCGGTCGATGCTTCTTCCTCTGACCAGATTTTGAGCTCCCACTAGGCACAATAAGAGTAGCAAAATGGGAAGGGGGCAGTGCTTCTTTCTCCGGTAGCTGCCATACTTTGTTCTGGGTTCTGGATTATTCGTTCCTCCTCTTCAATCGAAGCTTTAGGCTTCAAAGCAGAGGGTTTCTATGGTCTCTACATCATCTTCGTCATTCATTCCGGCTTTTGGGGATTTCAGAAGACTTTCGAGGACTGCTGCACTATCAAATCCCCTAGCAATTCGACTACCTCTAACGATTCGTCTAATTGCAGCAGATGGAAGGGTTCTTTGAGGCATGCAACAAGCTCCTGCGAGAGAAGAAGCCAATCCGAATTTGGGGTTCTTCGAGGCTGGCAAGTTGCAAATCGACATGCAATAGTTCTGGGTTTTGGGTTCGACAAAATTAGGGTTCGGATTGGGGGAGGTGAAAGGAATAAATTGATAGGGAGATACGATTGGAGGCACAACGATGAGAGGAGCAACATGAGAGAGGTAGAAGAAAAGAGGGGTTAGGGAAGATGGGTATCTGCGAAGAAGAAGAGTAGAAAAGGGCAAAGTTGTATTTTGCCATTTTCTATGAAAAATTAAATTGCTGGCTAAGAAATTCTGGAGCCATAAACAAACAAAATAATTGCCGGAAACCCACACTTTAAATTCCTGGGATTTTTAATAAGGAAATTGGACCTGAAATCTCTCAGATCACATTTCTGAATCCAAACGACCTCATGATAAAATCAAAGAGAAACGATGACCATGTACATAAGATACACCATAAGGATCATGTATATTGACATTCACACGTTGAAACTTATTAGTATAAGAAAGGTAAACATTTCTATTTCGTACAAAAACAAAGTGAGTCTCGTTCTTATTAGCCAACAACTCTTACTTGAGGTAAGGGAGCATCCCAAGGAGATGGTAACACCGACCAAAATCATGAATAGTAGGATCAAAGAAAAAATGAGGAATTGGTGAAGCATGAGAAGATGGTAAGAAGAGAGAGGTTTGTAAAAGAAAGTAAAGGAGTTATTGTGAAAGAAAATCAAGAAATAAGACATGTCGTTGGTTAATCTGAAGACATTAAGTAAGAAACATTAATAGTCCTTATGCGAGAGATTTGAACCTCACCACCAATTTTCATTAGTTCAACTTAAGGAGTGGCTACTACATCATATTCAACTATAACACATAAGAGAGAACTTTGGCATGACCTAATGGTCTCTTTGGAAGATGATAATGTTGGAATATGTAAAATTAGAGGAACAAACTTGTAATTATATTTTGTATGTGGACTGAGGAGGACATAATGTTGGGGTTTGTGGTTAAGCCCCTGCGTGCTCGGCAGCCTACTTAAGCCTCATTTTGTTTTAATGGCTGATTAAGCATTCTAAGAATCCTATTAGCCACCATGGAATAAAGTCTTTCTGTAAGGCCGAACCACGTTAAAGTTCCGTGTCTTTTATGATTATGCTCATCGATTCGAGGTAAATTATAACATAAATGATCTTTTCTTCTTGGGCAAGATTCTCTCAAATGAAACTTTCTTATAAAGTGCCCAAGTAGGGTTAATTATAGTGAGGGATGTCATGGACAAGACATTGATTGTTCACCATATATATATGGTAATAGTGAAACAAGTGTGCTGAATATTTAGCTTGTCGATAACATTATTTACTCTTGGATTTCTCGTTGTATATCATTGAGCACTTTGCTTTATCATCAGAAAATTTTATGATTGTTAGCTCCTTTCCAAACCTGAAATAAATATGAATGATGGATATGATGCTCTCATCAAGTTTCAAAAAGCAAAAGGAAATTAAAAAAAAATTGACAATGAAAAGAGCAAGTTGATGTGGCCAATTGCTAAAAAGTAGCGTATACCGGTATTACCAAATATATCGTATTTATCTTTTTTTGGTTGAACAGATCATGTTTTCCCCTTTATTCTTTGAAGAGATCCGAAAATATAGTGAAGAGAGATTGAAGAAGGTACACAGAGCATTGAGTGGGTAAGAATCGCCAAAAATAAAACAAAGATCTTTATCGTCGTCCCGATTACCCCACCACCAAACTCAGTAACCTCATTTGATCTTCACTTCAAGAATATGGTTGGGCCAGCTGCCAACTATAGATCATCAACATATAGTAACGGGTATGAATTGCCGGTAAAGAAGAACATATCAGCACTGGTATTACTGGTTGCTGGGTTGTTGCTAGGCTTTGGTCGTAGGGTTTCATCTCTCGCCATAACTGTCGAGACTAAGGAATGCGTCTACGAGAGTGTCATGTACGAGGGAGACACCGTTTCTGGCAACTACGTGGTCATCGATCATGAGATCTTTTGGGGCACTGACCACCCTGGAATCGACTTCACTGTACGTAATAACTCTCTCTCACTCCCACGTAGTCTTTTATGCACTATTTACCAAGGTTAAAAAATTGTACGATTAACCTTACGCTTAGCCACGTCTAGGCGCAAGGTAATGGCAAAACTCATCGCCTAGGAGTTTTGCGCCTAATCAGATACTGAAATACGTCAATGGAGTAAGGAGACATATAAGTCTCTTCTACACATAACTAGATGAAGCTAGGAAGTCAATATTATAGGAGAAAATTAACGTCAACTACGAAATCAATTTTTTATATCAATATTTTCAATAGCTCAAGAACTTTGTGAGCTATTGAGCTATGATTCTAGGAATTCGTGAGTTATGTTTTTGTCATTAAGTGTTGAGTAAGTTATTAATCATTTTAACTGAAGTGAAGAAATACAAAGGAAACCTTGATTAAATCTGTTGCATTAGCTTTGCCCCTACATGTCATGTCGTGTTTTAAGCTCCCGCTGTCTCTCTGTCGGCTCTTAGATAAACATATAGCACGGTTTTGGTGGGGGAATGCGAATGACCATTCTAAAATTCGATGGATGTCATGGCGAAATATGTGCAGAAGCAAGCATGATGGGGGTATGGGATTCCGTCGTTTCGAGCAGTTTAATCAGGCTCTCTTGGCCAAGATCGGGTGGCGTATCCTTAATGAACCCGATTCCCTCTTAGCCCAAGTCTATAAAGGGAAGTACTTTCCCAATGGTATGTTCCTCACTGCTCAAGCCCGGTCCCGTCCATCCTGGGGGTGGCAGAGTATCCTTTTTGGTAGAACTCTGCTTGAGAAGGGTCTTCGATGGCAGATTGGTGATGGCCAGGCTTCTTCTCTTTTGCACTCCAATTGGATTCCTAATTTGCACCCATCAGCCCCGGTGCATAATCCTCAAATTCTTCCGGAGGGCGGGGACTCTTGTGTGGCGGAGGTTTTGTGCCCCGGGGAGGGGCGGTGGTGTGACACCAAGCTGGGGCAATGGTTTGATCCCCCTACCTGTCGGGAAATTAAGGCAATTCCCCTTCCTCGGCATCCGGAACCGGATAGGCTTATTTGGCATGATACGGCGGATGGTCAGTTTACTGTTAAGTCGGCATACCATCTTGCGGTTCTTTTGGATAAACAGAAGGGTGGGTGGTGCTCGTCGGTGAGCTGGATGGATAGGGCAAGCTGGGTCCGTCTTTGGGGGGCGAATGTTCCACCAAAGTTGAAGGTGTTCCTTTGGCAGATTTTGAATCGGATCCTCCCAACTACGGAAGCTCTTATTGAGAGAGAGGTTCAGGTACACCCCAGATGCCCGGTGTGCTGGGAAGAATCGGAAACGTTGGAGCATCTCTTTCTCTTTTGTCCAGTGGCGCGGGCACTTTGGGACCTCTCGGGGTTGGAGTTTCTAGGCCAGGGTTTGCCTACCCATATTTTCCCTCTGTTTCTGAAACGAGTAATGGCTCTCATTCATCAACCGGACTTGTTAATGGCGTTGGTGGCGGTCCTCTGGCGGATATGTCGCTCTCGGAACTGGGTGGTTTTTGAAGGAAAACAGTTTGGGATCCCAGCCTTGATGCGACAATTTTACCAGCAATATGAGGAGTGGATGAGCTTGCCAATGGATCGAAGTCTGCCTCCGCATACCACGTCTATCCCCCCGGCTTCCCCGATAGGCGATTCTAGGGCCGTCTGCCTCTGGGATGGGGCTACCAGGCATGGTGCTCCCTCAGCTGGTGGTATGGTGCTTATGACCTCGAACCATGATCTACTGCTGGCTAGGGGGGTCAGATTTCCTGATGTGGTGGACCCGATGGTCGTTGAACTTCTGACCCTTCGGGAGGCTATTGGCTGGTGTTTGGGACTTGGGTTTGCGATGGTTAGGTTTGAAGGAGATGCCAAGGTGGTGATCGATAAGATCAATTCGCGGCAGGCTAGTGATAACCGGGTGGGGGCTATTCTAGAAGAAGTTTTACACTACTTTGATTATCATCCGGGGTTGGGTGTACGGTTTGTAGGTCGGAATAACAATAGGGTAGCCCATAGGGTGGCTAGGAAGGTCCTTTCTTTGTCTCAGACTATAAGTCGTGTTTTTTATTTCCAGGCCTGGCTGAGAACCAGGATGTAATTATCTTTTTTTGAATCAATATACGATTATCTTTTGTCAAAAAAAAAAATTGATATAGAACATCCCGATTCCCGACAAGCAAAACGTGCCAATAGTGAATAGAGGTAGTAAGCTAAACCAAAAAGCCTATATGTATATCTATATACAAGGGCAAGGGAAGCATAATCAAATGATCTTTGGCCTTGTTTAATAATAAGTTGAGAGAGATCTATAGAGAGAGAGAGAGGTAGCCATGGCGATGAAGGGGAAGCTGCAGAGTGTTATGGAAGTGAAAGCATCAGCTAACAAAGTTTATCAGGTGTGGAAAGCATCATACGACATCCCCAAGCTCACCGCAGAGAACATCCACAAAGTTGAAGTCCAGCAAGGCGATTGGGAGACTACTGGATCGATCAAGTACTGGTGTTATACTCTTGGTAATGAATCAATTGCTGGAGATAAAATCAGTCCATTTCAATATCTAACTCGTTAAACTGAATCGTTGTTTGCTGAAGTTAAATCCAACACTCAATAAGTGAGCAATATGTTTTATGAACCTGCGCAGATATCAATTGCATATATATAAATAATAATTATTCCAACTATAATCAGATGGGAAGCTGGAAGTTTTGAAGGAGAAGACGTTTTTTGATGACGAGAAGAAGCTGGTGACCGTAATCGGGGCGGACGGCGACCCGATGAAGCTATATAAAGTGTACATAGGCAAGTTTGAGATGAAGCCAAAAGATGATGACGACGCCGGCGGCAATGGCTGCTTTGTGACCATCACGGTCGAGTATGAGAAACTCAACCTTGCCTCCCCGCCTGCCTACAAATACCTGGATTTCCTGGAAAGCGTTGTCCATGATCTTGGTGAAGCTCTTGCTTAATCATCCATCATCACCACCAATAATTACAGATGAGATTTCCATGGTACATCTCATTTGCTTTATATCTAGTTTATGTGTATAATCCAAATAAAAGAAGAGTGTGTTTATGGTCCTATTGATAAAATGGCTTTGTAATGACTAATATGTGGGATGGTAAGTGTTCTCATCACCAACCCTTTGTATTATTTTTTCCGAAAATATCAACCCTTTGTATTCTAAATAAGAGAGGGTTACTTTGGTGAGCTTTTTAAGAGATCCGTTGGTAAGTTGTATGGTCAATGCTTCTTATGGTATGAAGATTTGTATTCAAATAATATCTATCAAAATTCACTATCCCAATACCAAGTGTGTATGATTTTTCTACGTATAATTTTTGGGATCGTATTTTACGAAAACAATGGTTAGCGTGCTTGAATATCAATTTTTGGGACCCTATCCCGGATAATTTCAACCCCCGTATTTTGTTGATTGAATGTGTTTTCTTGCTTGTATGTAGGACTGGAAAAATAAACCATAATGTTTGAAAAATCACAGACCAAATCACACTATACAGTTTGGTCCGGATCATAGGCCGATAAGAATGGTCTGGTTTTGGTCTATGGTCTGCATAATAGGATGTATTGATCTCTTTGTTTTGTCTGATCTAGACCGCGGTTTATCGAACCAAATAGTGGACTCGTCCACCTTTCCAATTCGTGTAAGCAACTCGCTTGACCACTCTCCCAACTACTCAACGACACCCACGTCTCAACACTAATTTTCTGAATCTCGTCCTCCTCCTTAATTCATAAGCTACACTTTCTCACAGAGTAGAGAATAGTATCTTCATATGACATTATGTTAATGTTGGTTTGTTTTGACTTTGTGTTTTTGTTATTGACTTGGATTTATGGTGTTCAAATTAGGCATGTGTGTTAGAATTTATGTTTTTTGAAAAAAAATCTTTTTTCTCAATTTTTATTCAATTTTTTCTAAATAAACTACTCATTTTTCGCTCAATGTGTTGTAGTCCAAACTGTACCAGAATATACGTCTGGACCATTTAGTATTTGATATGGTCTCTGGTCTATACTTCAACTTCTTGGTCTGGATCATAGGTCGTGTATATGGTCCTTTCTCGATCAAACTGACTGTTTCCCTGTCCTACTAGTATCATTGTGGCGAATAGGACAGCTAAAGAAGGGACTCAATCCGTTATAGTTTTATTTGTGTCACCTTATTTGTCTACTGTCATCAAGACCAACATCATAGCCATAGGCGGAGAGAGGGGGTATGCTATATGGGAGGTGTCACGAGATACTGGTAATTTTTGGTAAAAAAAACTCCCCATATATGATATATGTATACAAAAAAAAAATGAACCCATCACCACTAACTCACTAAGTGATATAACAATGTTCTACCACCACACTACAAGTCATTTCATGATTAAAAGCTAATCGAAATTTATTTATCACACTACAAACAAAATTTCCAATTGAAATATACACAAAAATCGATCTCTCTGTTTTATCCATCAGTTTATTTACTTGTCAAACTATTTTTGACTCTACCTATTGCAATTATGAGTGTAGAAAGAACATTTTCAGGTTTGAGCTATATTAAGAAAAAGCTTTGAAGTCGAATTATCGACCAGTTTGCTAATGATTATTTAGTTGGATACATTGAAAAGAATTACTTAAGAGTGTAAACAACAAATGGGTTTTGCATTTTTTTTTTGTAATATGAAAATGCGTCGTGATTGTTTTTGGAAACAATGATTGTATTAGTTAGATATTTCTTTATTAATTATTTGAATATTATTATTTTAATTACATTTATTATTTATTTATATATTACTACTAATTACTTAGCTTCGAACCTTTTATGAAACAAATGAAGCCATTACTGTGAGCAAATACATATGGGGGTCGTTTGGATTAGGAAGTTCAGGCAGGAATTCTGCCATAATTCCTATCCTTCCAGGATTTCTTTAGATTTCTGCGTTTGGAAAGGCTCCAAAAATTAAAGGATTTTAATCAACAGAGATTTTGAAATTCTGCTCATTAGTGATTTCAAAATAGTTGATTACCCCCAACTATTTCAAAATCTCTGGTTTCTTTTTTTGGATCTTCCAATCTTATCCTTCACCTTCCTCCCTCGTCCTAAATCCACCATTCACGAACACCGCCAACGGAACAATCGGCCACTCATGTCTCTGTTCCGACGATAAGTCAAAAAAGCGGGACGACGGTAGATGCTTCTTCCTTTGACAAGATTTCGAGCTCCTGCTGGAGGCGGGATGGCGGTCGATGCTTCTTCCTCTGACCAGATTTTGAGCTCCCACTAGGCACAATAAGAGTAGCAAAATGGGAAGGGGGCAGTGCTTCTTTCTCCGGTAGCTGCCATACTTTGTTCTGGGTTCTGGATTATTCGTTCCTCTTCTTCAATCGAAGCTTTAGGCTTCAAAGCAGAGGGTTTCTATGGTCTCTACATCATCTTCGTCATTCATTCCGGCTTTTGGGGGTTTCAGAAGACTTTCGAGGACTGCTGCACTATCAAATCCCCTAGCAATTTGACTACCTCTAACGATTCGTCTAATTGCAGCAGATGGAAGGGTTCTTTGAGGCATGCAACAAGCTCCTGCGAGAGAAGAAGCCAATCCGAATTTGGGGTTCTTCGAGGCTGGCAAGTTGCAAATCGACATGCAATAGTTCTGGGTTTTGGGTTCGACAAAATTAGGGTTCGGATTGGGGGAGGTGAAAGGAATAAATTGATAGGGAGATACGATTGGAGGCACAACGATGAGAGGAGCAACATGAGAGAGGTAGAAGAAAAGAGGGGTTAGGGAAGATGGGTATCTGCGAAGAAGAAGAGTAGAAAAGGGCAAAGTTGTATTTTGCCATTTTCTATGAAAAATTAAATTGCTGGCTAAGAAATTCTGGAGCCATAAACAAACAAAATAATTGCCGGAAACCCACACTTTAAATTCCGGGATTTTTAATAAGGAAATTGGACCTGAAATCTCTCAGATCACATTTCTGAATCCAAACGACCTCATGATAAAATCAAAGAGAAACGATGACCATGTACATAAGATACACCATAAGGATCATGTATATTGACATTCACACGTTGAAACTTATTAGTATAAGAAAGGTAAACATTTCTATTTCGTACAAAAACAAAGTGAGTCTCGTTCTTATTAGCCAACAACTCTTACTTGAGGTAAGGGAGCATCCCAAGGAGATGGTAACACCGACCAAAATCATGAATAGTAGGATCAAAGAAAAAATGAGGAATTGGTGAAGCATGAGAAGATGGTAAGAAGAGAGAGGTTTGTAAAAGAAAGTAAAGGAGTTATTGTGAAAGAAAATCAAGAAATAAGACATGTCGTTGGTTAATCTGAAGACATTAAGTAAGAAACATTAATAGTCCTTATGCGAGAGATTTGAACCTCACCACCAATTTTCATTAGTTCAACTTAAGGAGTGGCTACTACATCATATTCAACTATAACACATAAGAGAGAACTTTGGCATGACCTAATGGTCTCTTTGGAAGATCATAATGTTGGAATATGTAAAATTAGAGGAACAAACTTGTAATTATATTTTGTATGTGGACTGAGGAGGACATAACGTTGGGGTTTGTGGTTAAGCCCCTGCGTGCTCGGCAGCCTACTTAAGCCTCATTTTGTTTTAATGGCTGATTAAGCATTCTAAGAATCCTATTAGCCACCATGGAATAAAGTCTTTCTGTAAGGCCGAACCACGTTAAAGTTCCGTGTCTTTTATGATTATGCTCATCGATTCGAGGTAAATTATAACATAAATGATCTTTTCTTCTTGGGCAAGATTCTCTCAAATGAAACTTTCTTATAAAGTGCCCAAGTAGGGTTAATTATAGTGAGGGATGTCATGGCAAGACATTGATTGTTCACCATATATATATGGTAATAGTGAAACAAGTGTGCGGAATATTTAGCTTGTCGATAACATTATTTACTCTTGGATTTCTCGTTGTATATCATTGAGCACTTTGCTTTATCATCAGAAAATTTTATGATTGTTAGCTCCTTTCCAAACCTGAAATAAATATGAATGATGGATATGATGCTCTCATCAAGTTTTAAAAAGCAAAAGGAAATATATAAAAAATTGACAATGAAAAGTGCAAGTTGATATGGCCAATTGCTAAAAAAATAGCGTATACCGGTATTACCAAATATATCGTATTTGTCTTTTTTTGGTTGAACAGATCATATTTTCCCCTTTATTCTTTGAAGAGATCCGAAAATATAGTGAAGAGAGATTGAAGAAGGCACACAGAGCATTGAGTGGGTAAGAATCGCCAAAAATAAAACAAAGATCTTTATCGTCGTCTCCCGATTACCCCACCACCAAACTCAGTAACCTCATTTGATCTTCACTTCAAAAATATGGTTGGGCCAGCTGCCAACTATAGATCATCAACATATAGTAACGGGTATGAATTGCCGGTAAAGAAGAACATATCAGCACTGGTATTACTGGTTGCTGGGTTGTTGCTAGGCTTTGGTCGTAGGGTTTCATCTCTCGCCATAACTGTCGAGACTAAGGAATGCGTCTACGAGAGTGTCATGTACGAGGGAGACACCGTTTCTGGCAACTACGTGGTCATCGATCATGAGATCTTTTGGGGCACTGACCACCCTGGAATCGACTTCACTGTACGTAATAACTCTCTCTCTCACTCCCACGTAGTCTTTTATGCACTATTTACCAAGGTTCAAAAAGGTAAGCTTAACCTTACGCTTAGCCACGTTTAGGCGCAAGGTAATGGCAAAACTCATCGTCTAGGAGTTTTGCGCCTAATTAGATACTGGAATACGTTAATGGAGTAAGGAGACATATAAGTCTCTTCTACACATAACTAGATGAAGTTAGGAAGTCAATATTATAGGAGAAAATTTACGTCAACTACGAAATCAATTTTTGATATCAATATTTTCGATAGCTCAAGA